AGGCAGGCAGGAAGGCAGGCAGGCAGGCAGGCAGGAAGGCAGGCAAGAAGGAAGGCAGGAAGGAAGGAAGGCAGGAAGGAAGGAAGGAAGGAAGGCAGGCAGGAAGGCAGGCAGGCAGGCAGGAAGGAAGGAAGCCTGTCAAGGGGAACTTCCTATAAACGTGCTGGCCATTTTTTCTAGATGTTTCCTTTCAGCATCAAGAAGTATTGTCCTTTTTTTCCCTTTTTATTTTGCCAATACCCCCGCGGGCGTTTCGTTCAGTTTAGCAAACACTTGGGTGAAGTGCCTCGGTCCCTCACTGTATGATCACAGTTGAACCTTGATGTGAAGCGGGACCTGGGCAATAGCAAGGTCCTCAGAGTCTGCATGTGTACGTCCACTTGAGGTGTTAAAATGCCATTGGGGTTACAAGGTGGAGGTGCTGACTCTGGCAGTGAAGCCCTGCCCAGGTGGCACCCTGCCCGGAGGAGCGCTGTGGGTTTGTACAACTCCTTGTGGCCGCCAGTGCTGCCTTCCAGCTCATGGGAAATCACGGGGCGAGAAATCACTGTCCTGTGCCTGGCCCTGATGGAGCTGTTCTGCCAGTCCTCATGCAGCCTGCTTCCCCACCAAAAATGGAAACCGACTTGAGTCTTAGGAAAGGCTTACAAAGTCTCAGGGAAACCTCTAGGATCCTGGGTGGTACAAGCAGCTGCTAACCTAAAGCTTGACAGTTCAAACCCACCCAGTGGTGCTGCAGAGGAAGGGCCTGGCGAACGGCTTCTGTAAAGATTACAGCCTAGAAAAATCCCATGAAGCAGATCTACTCTGTAACATATGGTGTCGCTATGAGTCAGGGCCGACTCAAAAGCAGCTAAGAACAGCAGGGAAACTTGTCTGGGCATTGCTAGTTCAGTGGGAGGATTCTTGCCTTCCATGCCAGAGACCTGGTTTCGATTCCTGGCCAGTGCACCTTCGTGCACAGCCACCGCCCTTCTGTCCGTGGAGGCTTGCCTGTTGCTATGATGCTGAACAGGTTTTAGCGGAGCTTCCAGACTAAGACAGACTAGGAACAAAAGGCCTGGTGATCTATTTCCAAAAAGCAGCCAGTGAAAACCCTGTGGAGCACAAAGGTCCAGTTCCGTTGTGCGTGGGGTCACCATGAGTTGGGGGCCGGCTCTACAGCAGCTGACAATGGGGAGACTTGTGACTTTGCCGTCTTTGATCTGTAAAGACCTGAAACCTCACATCTCGGCTCGTGTGTTCTCTCCACAGTCCGAGGCTTCCCCTCAGAGAAGGACTTTGAGGACTACATCAGGTATGACAACCGCTCCTCCAACGTGCTGGCCGCCGTGGTTTTCGAGCACACCTTCAACCACAGCAAGGACCCTCTGCCGCTGGCGGTGAGAATCGTCCCTCATCGCTGGGCTGAGGGTTGGCAGGAAGGTCGGCAGGGCCTTAGCGTCCTCTGCTGTGCTGATCCAGCCTATAGAAGCTGCTGCCTTTCCCTAACTCCCGCCCAAGAGGAGGTACTAGACTCTCCCTCTGGGCCCAGGGCCGCCCTTGGTCCTGCTGATGCAGCCCCTGGTGGCTCAGGCCAGAGCAGCCCAGACCACTCACCTGCTGGAAGAAGCAGTCGCTTGAGGCCCCGTTTAGTTCCTTCATCTTGGGGAAGGTAACGCCGAGTCCAGGCCCCTGTGGATGGGGTCCCGTGGGATCAGAGAAGAGGAGCAAGCACTTGGGATCTAAGTGCGATGGGATGTTAGAGCTTCATTTATGTATTAACAAGAAAAAAAGGCAAGTTTTTTGCTTCTAGAAACGGTCAAGTTCATCCAGCATTATCTTGGCGGCCATCCATGGGCCCCAAATCGGTGGTTATGGGGGACCCATCTCACATAGCGTTCACATTGGAAGGTGGCAAGTGAGCAGCTAAGAGCACCCCAGAGCTGCTCACATGGGGCTCCCTGCACCCACTGCAGCATACCGCTGCCGGCACACTGACATTCCGAGCCCCCTCAGACGTTTGGGGAAGCACGGGGGGCGGGGCTGTGAGTTCACGGTGGTGAGCCCACCACACCTTCCACCCAGCACCTCGCATCCACGCCTGGCCTGCACCTCTCACGCTGTGTCCTCTCCGTTTCTGCAGGTGAAGTACCACCTGCGCTTCAGCCACACGCGGAGAAACTACATGTGGACGAAGACGGGCTCCTTCTTCCTAAAGGAGACGGACGGGTGGCACACCACCTCCCTCTTCCCGCTTTTTCCAAACCCAGGCCCGAGGGAGCCCTCGTCCCCTGATGGCGGAGAGCCTGGTAAGAGGCACCTTGGTGGGCTGAGCGATTAGCCCCATGCTGCTAACTGGCGGCGGTGACGCAGGAAAGCAATGCCCACACCAACCATACCTGCACCCGTGTCCTCTTCTTGTCCCTTAGGCTCAGGCCTCGGGGACACAGGCTGCTTTTTGCTCTCCTGGTGTTACACCTGGCTCCCCGTGTGCTGCAGCCGGTTAAGTGCTTGACTGCCAGCCCTCACCCAGAGGCGCCTCGGAAGACAGGCCTGGCGATCCCCTTCCGAAAGGTCACAGCCTTGAAAACCCTGTGGAGCAGTTGTGCTCCGGACACATGGAGTCGCCATGAGTAGGGATGGACTTGACAGCAACTGACGACAGTGTTATGCCCACTCAGCCTCAGACTCCGTCTCCCCCAAGCCTAGCTCTGGATTGGGGTCCCGGGTCCCCAGGTTGTCACTCCTCCCTGTCCTTAAAACAGACACACAGGCCCTCTTCACATTAAGGATTTCATTACAGACCACTGGCGTCAGATGGTGCGAGCCTGGGTGGGGTAGGGAGCACACGAAGGCCTCTGCCTCCCTGACGTGGCCACTCGAGGGTGGAGTCACTGTGGTGGAAGAGGCACCCCCAGGAACGTCCAGTTACTGATGTTTGCAGCGGTTTCTTCTCATTTTGAGTCGTGCCACATCAGCAAATGAAGGGCCCAAAAGCTTGACTCCATCCAGGTTGGGAAAGTTGACTCTACTTTGAGGAGACATCTCTTCCCCAGTCACAATATGAGTGCTTTCCAGCCAGAGGGTCTCGTCTTCCAGCGCTGTGTCAGACAATGTTCCGCCGCTATTCATAAAGTTTTCACTGGCCAGTTTTTTCAGAAGTAGACCACCAGGTCCTTCTTCCTAGTCTGTCTTAGTCTGGAAGCTCAGCTGTAACCCATCCACCATGGGCGACCCTGCTAGTATTTAAAATACGGGTGGCATAACTTCCAGCATCACAGCAACACGCAAGCTACCAGAGTAGAATAAACTGACAGACGAGCGGTGTCATTGTGAAGGCACTGGCGAAAAACAAGGCTCCAGGAACTGACAGAATACCGATTAAGATGTTTCAACACGTGGATATAGTGCTGGAGGTGCTCACTCGTCTGTGCCAAGAAATTTGGAAGACAGCTCACTGGCCAACCAGCTGGAACAGATCCATATTTGTGCCCATTCCAAAGAAAGGTGATCCAAAGAATGCAGAAAATATTGAACAATATCATTAATAACACACGTAAGTAAAATTCTGCTAAAGCTCATTCAAAAGCGGTTGCAGCAGTATGTCAACAAAGAACTGCCAGAAAGTTTAAGCCGGATTCAGAAGACAACTTGAAATGAGGGATAATCATTGCTGATGTCAGATGGATCTTTGGCTGAAAGCAGAGAATACCAGAAAAATGTTTATCTCTGTTATCTTTGTTTTATTGCCTATGAAAGGCGTTCGACTGTGTGGATCATAACCAATTATGGATAACATTGCAAAGGATGGGAATTCCAGAATATTTAATTGTGCTCACGCGGAACCTGTACGTAGACCAAGAGGCAGTCATTCTGACAGAACAAGGGGATATCGTGTGGTTTAAAATCAGGAAACGTGTGCATTAGGGTTGTATCCTTTCACCGTAATTATTCAATCTCTATGCTGAGCAAATAATCTGAGAAGCTGGACTATCTGAAGAGGGACACGGCATCAGGATTGGAGGAAGACTCATTAACAACCTGTGTTATGCAGATGACACAACCTTGTTTGCTGAAAGCGAAGAGGACTTGAAGCACTTACTGATGAAGATCAAAGACCACACAGCCTTCAGTATGGATTACACCTCAACATAAAGAAAACAAATATCCTCACAACTGGACCAATAAGCAACATCATGATAAATGAAGATTGATGTTGTCAAGGATTTCATTTTATTTGGGATCCATAATCAACACCCATGGAAGCAGCAGTCAAGAAATTAAACGATGTATTACATTGGGCAAATCTGCTGCAAAAGACCTCTTTAAAGTGTTAAAAAGCAAAGATGTCACTTTGAGGACTAAGGTGCATCTGACCCAAGCCATGGTATTTTCAGTTGCCTCATATGCATGCGAAAGCTGGACAATGAATAAGGAAGGTCGAAGAAGAATTGACGCCTTTAAATTCTGGTGTTTTTGAAGAATATTGAATATAACATGGAATGCCAGAAGAACGAACAAATCTGTCTTGGAAGAAGTACAACCAGAATGTTCCTCAGAAGTGAAGATAGTGAGACTTCATCTCACATGCTTTGGACATGTTATCAGGAGGGATCAGTCCCTGGAGAAGGACATCATGCTTGGTAGAGGGTCAGCGAAAAAGAGGAAGATCCTCAATGAGATGGATTGACACAGTGGCTGCAACAGTGGGCTCAAACACAGCAGTGATTGTGAGGATGGCGCAGGACTGGGCAGTGTTTCCTTCTGTTGTACATAGCGTTGCTGTGAGTCAGAACCGACTTGATGGTACTTAGCAATAACAAGAATGTCCACATCCTAATCCTTGGAACCTGTGAATGTGTCAGGTTACATGGCAAAGGACAATTAAGGTTGCAGATGGAATTAAGGGTGCTAATCAGCTGACCTTACAATAGGGAGACTGTCCTGGATTACCCAACACGGTCACCAAACCAACAAAACCAAACCCCCTGCCGTCAAATTGATTCCAACTCTAGCGACCCCGTAGGACAGAGTAGAACTGCCTCGTAGCGTTTCCAAGGCTGTGATCTTTATGGAAGCTGACTGCCACATCTTTCTCCCACAGAGCAGTTGGTGGGTTCAGACCACCAACCTTTTGGTTGGCAGCCAAGCGCTTAACCACTGTGCCGCCAGGGTTCCAGTGTGGAGGCAGAAGAGAGGGTCTGAGAGATGTGTTTGGCTCTGAGGATGGAGGAAGGGACCATGAGCCAAGGAATGCGGGGCCCTCTGGAAGCTGGAAGAGGCAATAAAGGGATTCTCCCCTAGAGCCTCCAGAAGGAATGACACCCTGACAACCTTTTTATTTTAGGCCAGTGAGACCTGTGTCAGACTCTCCACCTGCAGAACTGCGGGATAATCACTGTGTTGTTTTAAGCTGCTAAGGCTGAGATAATCTGTTGCAGCAGCAGCAGGAAGCCCATGCACCGGCCGAGCCCTTCTCTTTTTCGGATTCCACCTTGGCAAAGCCAGTCAGCCTTGCTGGTCTCAGCCCTGCCTCCCTAAAGTCACAGCCTCTCTCTGCGGCTCCCTTCCCTGCTGGGGCAGGCCTCCCCCATCACCTCTCGATATGGGGGCCCAGTCTCTCTTCTTCCGACCTTTTCGTGGCCCCAGCTTCCCCTGACCTAACTCTTCTGGCATAATCTTTTCTGATGTATTTTTGTTTCTTTGTTTAGAATTCCACCAAACCTGTTCAGGGCAGTAGGGTCTTTGCAGCCAGGTCCCTGTCAAGGAGGCTGTAGATGTGATGGTGTGTGTGAAAGCGCTCTGTTAGTGAGAGTGGGGGAGACTAGTATCGCTCCCCTCGTTTGCTTTTACTGCTCATCTCTGGGGTGCGTCCTCCTGTCTCCCGAGGAACTGCCACGTGCAGCCACAGACGGACGTTCAGTGAAGTCACTGTCACCTCGTGTGCCCCTTTCTCAGGGACCCTGGGGTAGCCTTGTGCACGCAGCTCACGCGGCTGTTTGAGCAAGCGGCGCTGCCACGTGGGTTTTCTGATGCGTGTCAACCCACTGTGCTGGAATGTCTTTTGCTTTCAATCACAGGGTACATCCGAGAAGGCTTCCTGGCCGTGCAGCACGCCGTGGACAAAGCCATCATGCAGTACCATGCAAACACGTCTGCACACCAGCTGTTCGAGAAGGTCACCGTGATTGCAAAGCGGTTCCCGTACCCGCCCTTCATCTCGGACCCCTTCCTCCTCGCCATCCAGTACCAGCTCCCCCTGCTGCTCATGCTGAGCTTCACCTACACCTCGCTGACCATCATCCGGGCTGTGGTGCGGGAGAAGGAGAAGAAACTCAAGGTAACCCTGCGCCTCGGCTGTGAGCCCCCCGCCCAGACACTTCCATCTCTCATCATCTGAGCTCTTCTGTTGTTGCTGGGTGCCGTCAAGTCCATTCCGACTCCTTTGGCCCCAGATGACAGAGTGGAACTGCCCTGCAGAGTTTTCTTTCTCTTTTTTATATGTGTAAACCTTTCTTGAGTTTCTATAACAGTGGTCTCGTACAATACCTATAGGGTTTCCTAGGCTGGAGCCCCAGTGGCACAGTGGTTAAGAGCTCGGCTGCTAACCAAAAGGTCGGCAGTTTGAATCCCCCAGCCGCTCCTTGGAAACCCTGTGGGGCAGTTCTACTCTGTCCTGTAGGGTCGCTATGAGTCGGAATCGACTCGACATCATCAGGTTAGGTAAGGTAGTCATCTTTACAGAAGGCGCCCTGGTGGCGCAGTGGTTGAATGCTTGGTTGCTAACTGAAAGGTTGGCGGTTGGAACCCACCCGCTGCTCCGTGGAGAGCGATGTGGCAGTGACGGTAGCGCCCCCTGCAGGAGTACATGCGCGTGATGGGGCTGAGCAGCTGGCTGCACTGGAGCGCCTGGTTCCTCCTCTTCTTCCTCTCCCTCCTCATCGCTGTCTCCTGCATGACCCTGCTCTTCTGCATCAAGGCAAGTGTCCGGCTCCACAGGGAAGTCCCACGCCAAGAGGGTGGTGGCGGGGACTCCCCACGGAGAGCCGAGCCTGAGGGTGGTCGGTGTCCGCCGAGAAACTGTGGGGCTCCCTCGCTGTGCCCGCGGACGCTCCTCCGTCCTTGTCCCCATCACATGTGACTGCGGGTGGTTGCACACTCCCGGCTTGTCTCCTCCTGCCCACCCACCGCGGCCAGCTGACCGGTCAGCATCTCGCAGGTGAAGAAGAACGTGGCGGTGCTCAGCAACAGCGACCCGTCCCTGGTGCTGGTCTTCCTGCTGTGCTTTTCCACCTCCTCCATCTCCTTCAGCTTCATGGTTAGCACCTTCTTTAGCAGAGGTCAGTCGTCCACCCCCGGGTGCTCCGAGTCCGGGAAAGCGGGGCAGCTCCGCCTGAGATGTGTGAGGGCGAGGGGGGTGTGGGTGTCCTGTGGCCATCGTGACAGATCACCACAAACGGGGGGCTTAGAACAACAGGAACTTACTCTCTCACATTCTGGAGGCCAGAAATCCCAGTTCAGGGTGTGGGCAGGACCGAGCTCCTGCTAGAGGCCCTGGGGAGGATCCTCCCTTCTCCTTCCAGCTTCCAGCGGCCCCAAGCGATCCTCGCTTTGTGGCCCCTTCCCTCCTGTCTCTGCGTCTGTCATCACCTGGCTGTCTTCCCTCTGTGTCTCTCCTCTTATAAGGACACCCATCATTGGATTAGGACCCATTCTATTCCAGTGTGACCTTGTTGTTGTTGGGTGCTGTCAAGTCGATTCTGACTCATAGCGACCCCATGTGACAGAGTAGAACTGCGCCATAGGGTTTCCTAGGCTGCAGTCTTTACGGGAGCAGATCGCCAGGTCTTTCTCCTGTGGAGCTGCTGGGTGGGTTCGAACCACTAACGTTTTGGTTAGCAGCTGAGCAGTTAACCATTGCTCCACCAGGGCCCATGTTAACCGATAACATTTTCAAAGACCCTATTTTCAAACAGGGTCACACTCACAGGTAACAGGGGTTCCAAAAAAAAATCAAACCAGACCCGATGCCATCAAGTCGATTCCGACTCATAGTGACCCTATAGGACAGAGTAGAACTGCCCCATACGGTTCCCAAGGAGTGGCTGGTGGATTCAAACTGCTGACCTTTTAGTTAGCAGCCTGAGCTCTTAACCACTGTGCCACTAGGGTTCCAACACATCAGGGGTTAGGACTCAACGTATCTTTTTAGGTGACACAATTTAACCCATAACAAGGGGTCAGAGGACATCTAAGTAGAAATCACCTAGAGCCTGAGTTGACAGAAGGGAGGAGACTTGAGAGGCAGCACTGGGTGGGATGGCGCACAGGACATCTTGTCCCCCTTCCTCTGCCTCATCCCCCTTTCTCTGCCTCATTCCCCTTGCGCTTCCAGCGCTCCATGCCTGGCTGACTTTCTCTGCTTCCCTGGCTGACTCTCTGCCTTGTTCCCTCTGCGCTTCCAGCGCTCCATGCCTGGCTGACTTGTCCATTAACAGTCTGTCTCCCCACTAGAGTAGAAGCTCCAGAGGGCAGGCCTCGTCTGTTCTGCTCACAACAGGCTCCCCAGTGCCGGAACAGTGCGTGGCACAAAGTGGGTGCTCAGCAAGTGTCTAATGACTGAATGTAAGAGGTCGGGCAGACCAGGAGAGACGTGGGGCTTGGAGCAGGGGGATCAGGAGTTCAGTTTTAGCGATGTCGGATGAGCGATGTCAGAGGCAACTGGACGTGGTGTCTGGGGCCAGAGCTGAAGAGACCGCCACGGGGTCCTCGGCATGGGGAAAGCATGTGAAGCCTGGGGTGGGTGTCATTTTCTGGGTGCAGGACACCGAGAAGAGGCTGGGGCCCAAGCCCGGAGTCCCTCCAGCACTGGAGCTCACACTGTGATGCTGGGAAGGTCCCCTCTGTACCGTGGATGGAGCATGGGCTCCCTGCTGACCCCACGGATGCCCCCAGCACCCTCCCCTGTCCCTCTGTCCACCTGCAGCCAACATGGCGGCGGCCATCGGTGGCTTTCTCTACTTCTTCACCTACATCCCGTACTTCTTCGTGGCGCCCCGGTACAACTGGATGACCCTCAGCCAGAAGCTCTTCTCCTGCCTCCTCTCCAATGTTGCCATGGCCATGGGGGCCCAGCTCATAGGAAAATTTGAAGCAAAAGGTATTTTCCTCTTTGTTGTCACTTTGAGGGAACCTAGGCAGAGCAGTCTCCAGCCGGCTGGACTCTACTTCAGATAATAACGCAGGCTGGGACAGCAGTGCGATGGCTTCACCCGCGGGTGGGCGTGATGGGGCCACGTCCGGGGCAGCCTGAGACCTGGCTTTGGGTCCTCCTGGTGGCTCCGCCTGGAGACAGTGGGCACTGTGGAGACACCCCGGGCGTCAGCGTCTCTCTGTCCACGGCCCCCCTTTCATGAGATCACTCACCAGTCTCTTCCTGCCTTTTCGTTTGATTTTTTTTAATGTTTTATTGTATTTTTGGTGAAAGTATACACAGTAAAACAGGTTCCCGTCCAACAATTTCTCCACGTAATGTTCAGTGACACTGGCTCCATTTTTCAGTTTCTGTCAATCTCATGATTTCCATTCTGGTTGTTCCACTCCTGTTCATGGGGCCTCACTGCCCCCCAGACATCTCATCTGTGCTTTAACTGTTGTCCATTTGGTCTCATATGGATAATTTTTTTTAAAAGCGCAGCCCTCAAGGATGAAATTCTTTACTTTTTAAACTTCCTGCTTTTTAAGACACTCAGCGTCGTCACAGCAGGGAGCTCAGAGTCTGAGGCTCTGACGCCTTGAGATCGCCCCCTAGCTCTGGGTAGAGCGGTAGGATTAGCGCCCCCTGCAGGGACCCCAGGACTCTGTAGGGGTCATAAATGGACTAAAGCCAGGACCTAGGGTGACGGGAGGGAGGCCTGAGAGGAACCAGTGACGAACTATCAAGGCTTTCCCCTTGATTTTTGTGGACTTTCCTGATTTTTTAAATACTTTGGGGGTCATCCACCGCTCTTCTCTGGGCCGAGTCTGGCCCGTGGGCTCCCCCTTTGCAGACCTGTGGTAGACGCTCATATTGTAACTGATCAGAGCCCCCACTTTGATGGGATGGGGGGGGGGGGGGGGGGGGCGCGCCTACTTTAACCCCTCGCCTGCTGGAATGTCTCCGCAGAGGGAGACTCCGCTCTTAGGAGTCTGGATGGCGCAAGCAGCTCGCCCCTGGGGTGCGGCAGTCACCGCCCTTGTGTGGCTGACCCCCGCCTTCTTGCTGTATTGCGAGAGCAGGAACACAGCCTGCCTTCTGTGTGGCTGACCCCTAAGCATTTCTAGGTGGGCCCAGCGCCCCTCCCTCCAGACACCCTTGTTTCCTCCAGCCACGTGGTTCCTGATGGTTGTGGCTCCCAAGCGCTGGGTCCTCGGAGGAGGCAGGAGAGGTCGCAGGAACGGCCAGCGACGCGTGGTCTCCGGTTAGGGTGTTCTTAGCTGGCGACATCTTCTGACACCAACTGGAGCTTTGAAATGTGCGTGTTTCTGCTTGCAGGAGCGTGTCAGTAACACGGAGGCTTTGTAAATGGACAGCTCCTTCCAGAGTTCAAATACTTTCTAAAAAGGCATTTACAAAGAGGCATCTAACCGTAGGCACCTTAGATCTGTCTCTGTCTGAAAGTTGTATAGTGAATGTCTTCAAAGAGACAACCTCCAGTGCTTCGAAGGCGCACATTCGCCCGGGCTAGGGAGCGGCTGGCTCCAGCAGGGGCTCGGGGGCTGCAGAGGGCGGCCGGCCGCACAGGGCGCCCAGCTGGATGAGCGATCACACTGGTAGACCACTGAGAAGAGAAACTGCCACGAGGACCACTGATTCTACCTTCTGATAACGTCTGAAATATTTCAGTTTGCACAAAAGAGTTCTATTAAGCACACCCTGGTCCAGTGCTGGCTGTACCCCAAGCCTGTGTGTGTGTGTGTGTGTGTGTGTGCGCACGTGTGTACGTGGAGCCCTGGTGGCACAGTAGTTAAAGCACTCTACTGCTAACCAAAAAGGTAGGCGGTTCAAACCCACCAGCAGCTCCACGGGAGAAATATGTGGCAGTCAGCTTCTGTAAAGATTTGCAGCCTTGGAAACCCTATGGGGCAATTCTTTTCTGTCCTACAGGGTTGCTACGAGTAAGCACCGACTTGATGGCAGTGGGTTTGGTTTTTGGTTTAGTGTGTACACGTACATGTATATATATGCGCATATATGCATGTGTACCTATGTATGGAGGAGTCCCTGGGTGGTGCAAACGATTAATATGCTCAGCTGCTAATCAAAAGGTTGGCAGTTCAAACCCGCCCAGAGGCACCTCAGAAGAAAGTCCTGGCAATCTGCTTCCAAAGGTCACAGCCATGAAAACTCTGTGGAGCGCAGTTCTAGTCTGCAACACATGGGGTTGCCACGAGTCAGAATCAACTCGACAGCAGCTGGTAAATGTACGTGTAATATGTGCGTGTATGTGTGCACATGGATCATAAATGTCATCAACATGACCCGTCTAGTGAGTACACAAGCTTCTGCTGGCTTTGTGACTTACCAACTTCATAACTTGTTCTCATCCCAAAGACCTGAAGAAGCTTACAGATGCATTAGAGTCAGGTGGGAAAAGCTGCGCACGCAGTACCGCCATCTCCGTGTGTCTTCCAGGCACCGGCCTGCAGTGGCGCGACCTCCTGTGCCCAGTCAACGTGGACGACGACTTCGCCTTCGGGCAGGTGCTGGGCATGTTGCTGCTCGACGCCGTCCTCTATGGCCTGGTGGCCTGGTACGTGGAGGCCGTCTGCCCCGGCCAGTTCGGGGTGCCCCAGCCCTGGTACTTTTTCCTCACGGTGAGTTCTGATGCCCCTGCCCTTCCCGTTGACAGCCCCGTGGGCGGTAGTAGTGTGACCTGGAACTCACTCTTGTGGTGGACCAAACCCCTGGCACGGGCGTCTGCCCAGCGTGGTCTCCCTAGATGCGCCCTCTTGAGCCAGCTCCTCCAGGCAGGCCCGGAGATGAGGGGTCAGCTCCACGACCCATCCACATCGGCAACTGCTGCCCACCCAGACCCGGCCCCCCTAACAGCCTCCGTCTTCCCGAGGTCTCTGTGGCTTTTAACGCTCGTTTGTTTCTACTGCCTCGTGAAAAGTATCTTACTGGGTTTTCTGCCTCCAAGAGAATGCACACTTATTGTGAAAATCACAGCATTGCTGAGATACCCAGCCCAGTCCCCCACCCCACGGACCCTCTTCACACAGCACACATGTATGTGTATTAACACACATGTTGGTGTTTTTAGTCGTCACGGAGTGACAACTCGTGACAACCCCGTGTGTGACAGCAGACCTGCCCCATAGGGTTTTCTAGGCTGTAATCTTTATTATGGGAGCAGATCACCAGTTCTTTCTCCCAAGGAGTGCTGGGTGGGTTCGAACTGCTGATCTTTTGGTTAATTAGCAGCCAAGCACTTAACTGTTGCACCACCAGGGGTCTTTCTATGTACATTAACACACCCGTACATATATGACACATAGACATGTTTATAACACATACATGTGTGTTTTTAACACAGCAGGATCATATCGTAATAACGATTGAAACTTGCTTTTTCACCTAACAATGGGTCTCTGACAGCTTAAACGCATATATGTATGTGTGCATATATATAAATACATTTTTAAGTTTTCATCTATATATGTTCATAAGTTTTGCTTTATTTACTTAGAAGTATGTTTATACTTAAACACATGCCTCTTTCTAAGTCGGCCCTGTTTTGTACGAGGCACAGGTCTACCTCCATGTAGTTGACTCATCCCCTGCTAGTGCGGGGTTAGGTGCCTCTTGACTCATTCTGTGATTTAACTCATATTTCCCATGTGTCTGTGTGTGAGTCTCCTGGGGCGGCCGGGACAAAGTGCCACATGCTGGGGGGCTTGAAACCATGGGGAGTGGATTCTCGCTCAGTTCTGGAGGCCAGAAGTCCAAAGTCAGGGTGTCAGCAGGAGGGCCGCGCTCCCTCCGGAGGCTGTAGGGGAGCATCCTCTTGCCTCTTCCAGCTTCCGGCGGCCCCAAGCGTTGCAGGGCTTGGGGCTGCCTCGCTGCAGTCTGCGTTGTCACGTGGCCCGCTCCTCTGTGTCCCCCTCTTCCTACAAGGACACCAGCCACTGGACCAGGGCCACCCTGCTCTGGTGTGACCTCATCTTCACAAACTCCGTCTGCAAAGACCCCATTTCCCAATCAGGTCCTGCTCTGAGGTTCCAGGGTTTAGGACTTCAGCATGTCCTTATTCATCCACCGTGTTCATCCACTCTGATTATTCGACGCACTGTTACTTCAGCAATCACTAGTGATAAAAACACTGGTAAACTGTGGCATCTGCCAGTTGTAAGATGCATACTGAGTTCAGAGTCCCTTAAATTGTGAAAAATAGTCTCTCAAAACCAATGGTATTTGGTACGCTCCAGACGCTGTTCCAGACCCTGGGAACCCGGCTGCAGAGTAAAGCCCCGCCCTCACAGAGCTTGCCCCTGGTGGGAATTCTCCCAGCCCATTTCCCCCTCCTGCCGCCCGCCCACAACGTTGTGTTGTGTGGGGCTCCGTTGTGTTGTGGGGCTTCGTAAGCCCGCAGGTGTCCTCAAGGGCGGGCAGTGTGTACAGTTCGTCCTGGGTTCTTTCCCCTGCGTGGCATCTGTCACTGGGGTGGCTCGACAGAGGGGGACAAGTTCTTGGCATGTGTAGCAGAGGGGAGCGCAGCCCCTTTGGCTTCTCTCGCTTGTCGCGACTCACATGCGGCTTTAGCAAGGTACTCCGACTCAGCCAGCAGCTCGGAGACACAGCCCCCTTGGCTTTCTGGCCCTTAAGCCTCTCTGGGTTGAACATTTCATAGCCTGTCTTGGTCTGGAGTTTCCCAGTTTAGTTACTAGGAAGTTATCGCTGTGCCTATTGGCCAGATCAGAACACTGAGGCCTGGGGCTCTCCCACAGGGGCAGCAGGAGCAAGAAGCTGAGCGGACTCAGAGCAGGGTCTCCTGGGCAGCTCGGGGAGAGTCACGACAAAGGCCACACTGCCGCGCGTGTTCAGTACTCCAGCTAATCGGTGCTTTGTGACTCTGACCAGACAGCAGATGTGAACTGACCGCTCTGACTCCTGTCTGGTTCCACCCTAGCCCTCCTACTGGTGCGGGAGCTGGAGGTCCGTCCTGGGGGAGGAGGATGGAGACGATGACCCAGAGAAGGCGTTCAGGACCGAGTTCTTTGAGGCCGAGCCCAAGGGCCTGGTGGCCGGGATCAAGATCAAGCATCTTTCCAAGGTGCCTCCTCCCTGTGGGACGGGCAGGGGCCAGGACGAAGGCAGGTAGCCCTGGGTGGCGCGCTCCCAAGCTGGCAAGGGTCCTCCCACTCTCTGACCCTCCTCCAGGGCACGAAGCATCGCCGTGCCTCTACCCCAGACTCCGCGTGCAGTCCTGCTCACCTGCGCCACTCTGACCTAACTCCCAGCAGTTCTCCAGTCACTGCTCCTTACCAGGCAGCCCCTGGCCTCTGGGCCTTCTGCTCCCACGGACACGGAACACGGGGAGGGGAGGCAGAAAACAGCAGTGCCATCTAACGAGGGCCCTGACTCTGCACAGCCCTCGCAACCTGGACACTACGGGTGGTCTCCAGAGGGGTGAGGCGCCCTGGGGCCCAGGGGAGTACAGGGCAGTCCTTTATCTTCCTGCAGGTGTTCAGGGTCGGGAATAAGGGCAAGGCGGCTGTCAGGGACCTGAACCTGAACCTGTACGAGGGGCAGATCACGGTCCTGCTGGGCCACAATGGCGCTGGGAAGACTACCACCCTGTCCATGCTCACAGGTAAGCTGGGTGCGGGGGAGACCACCTCCTCATCCATGCTCACAGGTGAGCTGGGTGCGGGGGCGACCACCTCCCCATCTGTGCTCACAGGTAAGCTGGGTGTAGGGGAGACCACCTCCCCGTCCGTGCTCACAGGCCAGCCTCTCAGGCCTCCCACTGCAGCTGGCAGGCCTCCTGGCCACCACCCCAGCCCAGGCCACGGCCCTCTCCTGGTCTCCAGTCCCTCCGTGGCCCTGGGACTCCAGGAAGGAGGGGTGTGCTCGCCCACCTGGCAGCACTGCAGGCCGGGGGATGGGGGGCAGCTCCCCCAGTGACACGGCCCTCCCCTCAGCCACTGTTTGTAAGCGCCCACACTTAGACCCTTAGCGACAAACAAGGCCAGTTCTCACGTCATGCTCAAAGCCAGCGCTTCCAGAAAGCCTTCCCCACGGCACGGCGCCCAGCTCCAGCTCGCTTTTTCACCGAGTGGCCGTCGGGAGGCCAGCGTGAGTGCCGCGCGGTCCGTCTCTGGGAGCGTGGTTTCCTCACCGCACACACAGGGAGGGTGTGAGCGTGTTCTCTTGCCCCTCGAGCTCGCGCGTCTGGGACACAACTGTCCGTACCCCCCCACCCCCTGCAGTCCCAGCTGCAGGCCCCACATCGGGGGTAGGGGTTACTCACAACTCGCTGGGTGGCAGGGCCAAGGGCAGCACGGCGTGGATGAGACAAGGGTCCCCGTCCTGCTGCCAATCTGCAGTCTTTCGAGGCTGAGTTTCAGCTCCTGGGGTCACCTGCTTGGTCCCAGGTCTCTTCCCCCCCACCAGCGGGCGGGCATACATCAGCGGGTATGAGATCTCCCAGGACATGGCTCAGATCCGGAAGAGCCTGGGTCTGTGCCCCCAGCACGACGTCTTGTTCGACGACCTGACGGTGGCCGAGCACCTGTACTTCTATGCCCAGGTGAGTCGCGGGCCGGGTTTCCCCTCGGTGGCTGCTGTTGTGACCCGCTAGGTTTTCCCAGGCAGCTGTGCGTGTCCTCAGCCTCCCCACAAACTGCCCCGTAAATTCCAGCAGAAGGGCGGCAGGAGGCCCGGAGCCCAGACCCTGAGCTGAGAAGCATCACTGAGACGGGTCTCGGGCCAAGGAGCATGTTGGGGGGCCAGCCTCCGTCAGAGCCCTGAGCTGAGGCTCCTGTGGTCCCCACCATTGCAGCTGAAAGGACTGTCGCTCTGGAAGTGCCGGGAGGAAGTCCGGCAGATGCTGCGCACCCTCCACCTGGAGGACAAGCGGGACTCCCTGAGCAAGTTCCTGAGCGGGGGCATGAGGCGCAAGCTGTCCATCGGCATTGCCCTCATCGCAGGCTCCAAGGTGTGGGGTCCCCGACGCGCGGACAGGCCCGTCCACTGCGGCCAGCCCCCTCGGCGCCACAGGAGGGAAACCCGGCATGGGTGGTCCGACCCCGTCTTCGTGGACCTGGACTCGAGCCCCCCAGGGCCCACGGGGTGGCCAGGCTGGGCCCGGCGGGACCCTGTCCGTGTCACAAGGCTGCCCCGTGCCCTCAGGTGCTGCTGCTGGATGAGCCCACCTCGGGCATGGACGCCATCTCCCGGAGAGCCATCTGGGACCTGCTCCAGCAGCAGAAGAGTGAGCGCACCATCCTGCTCACCACCCACTTCATGGATGAGGCCGACCTGCTGGGGGACCGCATCGCCATCATGGCCAAGGGGGAGCTGCAGTGCTGTGGGTCATCGCTCTTCCTCAAGCAGAAATATGGTGAGTGTGCGCGGGCCGGCCCGCCCCATCCGTACAGCGTCCCCGTTTCCCTTCGTGGGGGTGAATCAGGCAGGGCAGGCCTTCCCTGGACTTCCTGTCCAGGCCCCTCTGGGTGTGGACCTACAGCCCCAGGCAGAGAGCTGGTGAGAATGGGAAGGGGTGGAGCAGCGTCGTGGTTTGGTTAGGACTCAGGGCAGCTGGGGCCAGAAAACCAGCAGTCAGTGGTGGCTCAGAGCGGCGATGTGCCCATCACCGTGTGACCCTCCAATGGGAGAGAGGCCAACGAGCCGGAGGCCAGCACAGTGGCACCCAGCATCGGGGACACAGCCTGCCCGCCCTGCCGTGTGGGGAGGCTTCTCTTTCCAAGGTCACCTGGCCTGGCTGTACCAGCTTCCCACCCACATCCCCCTGCAGGAAGGAAAGCATGCCCCACCCCAGACACACTCCCCAGGCTGCACCCCCACTGCTGCCTGATCAGAGGGTCAGTATCATGCAGCAGAGAGGCCACAGCCCGCAGCCTTGGTGCTGGGCGACTATGTGCCCAGCAAAAAGACAGTGTTCAGTTACCAAGAGAGGAGAGAGCAGGTCTTGGGGGACAAGGAGCAGACCCTGCAGTACCCTGAGACCTGAAGCTGGAGCCCTGCCTCGTGACTCGGCTGAGCATCGCGCGTCCTGGGCTTCCACGTCCTCGTCTCTGACGTGCACCCAGAACCACCTGACGTTGCGAAGGGAGAGGGCGTGTTTGGAAGGCCCGGCAGATGGAGTCACCGTGAGTGGTATCACGACTGTCTTCCTCTTCGTATGTTCACCTCGCAGTGATGGCGCGTAGTGTTGACGCCTCAGAGAACAGGCGAAATCCCACGACATCCATCCCCTGAAGATACCACAGTGTCTGTCCCAGGAACCCCAGGCCTCAGTCTGGGGAGCCTGCCTCACCCTGGTCGGTTGTGCCACCAAGGGGAGACTCGTTACGGTGCCACCACCCAACCGGGACAGCACCCGGAGCTCACGGCGAGGACTCCATCTGGGTTAGAGGCCTCCTGCTGTGCGCCTGGCCCAGCGTGGGCGCCCCGAGGCCCAGCATGGGTGCCCCAAGGCCAGCGTGACTCAGAAGCGGGTGTGAGAAGGCACAGCTGAGCAGCTCACGTATGTTTTCCCCATGTTCCAGGCGCAGGGTACCACATGACCCTCGTGAAGGAGCCCCATTGCGACCCAGAGGCTGTCTCCCGGCTGGTCCACCACCACGTCCCCAATGCCACCCTAGAAGGCAGCGCCGGGGCTGAGCTCTCCTTCATCCTCCCCAAAGAGAGCACCCACAGGTACGGCCCCAGAGACGGCACCCACGGGTACGGCTCCAGAGACGGCACCCCCAGAGAGGGCACCCACAGTTACAGCCCCAGAGAGGGCACCCACAGGTACGGTCCCGGAGGGCCAGACGAGCACTCACAGGTCCTTACCCAGCATCCACTCCAGGTTCAAAATCTCGTCTGAATCTAGACCAGACGTGGTGGCTGAGCACGGTTCACCTGGGGCAAAGCTCCTCTCCGTCTGTAGCCCTGTGAATCCAGAGCGCAATGGCGAAGCAGGCATAAGGCACACATTCCCATCCCAAAGGGAGAAACCAGAGCGAGAGAAGGGGTCATGGGTACCAAGCAAGTCTGAAAGGCAGTAGGACAAATCTCATTAGGTTTCAAGGCTTGAAAACACTCCTCTGTTCTCCCTACTCTGGTATCACTGTTCACATCTGCAAATAAAAACCCTATTTCCCCAAACAAGGTCACATTCACTGGTGCAGGGGTGAGGACTGCAACATAGCTTTGGGGGGAACACAATTCAACATATGTAAAGTAGTGTGGCTGCGTCAGACCTCCTCATCTAACTTCATAAGTGGGGAGAATCATTATCAGCATCAGCCCAAAGCTGATTCCTATGAGGTGAAAGTCAGACACTCCTCCACCCTCCAACCTTTTCACCAATTCTGACACCAGCCGCCCCTCCCACGGCTCTACTTCTCTGCTGGGTTTGATAATCGATTGCAGTGCCCGCACAGAACTCATAAACAATGCTCACTCTTAAAGGGTTTATTAGGGAAGTAACAGGTTACACTTCAGGCTCAGAAACAACTCAGGATACAGTTCTTCGATCAGGATAGCCTCTTCTCAGCCATACCTGCAGGCCGGCCTCTCTGGCCCTCCACCCCTTGGGCTTCTTGGGCTGGCCCAGACTCTGCCCTGCTCAGGCAAGTGTTAGAAAGCTCTTTAGCCCACCAATAAGTGCTCAGAGGCACCCCACTCCACCAGCAAGCCTCTTACCTGAAGGCGCTCAGCTTTCTTGCTCCATAGGCCAGGAAGCCCACTGCACCATTTCCTGATGGTCTCCAGGTTCTGCTGCCACCATTTCTTTACCGCTACTTCTTGCTGTCTCCAGTGTTACAACTCTCTCTCTCTCTGTCACCTGAGTCTAGGAGGTTCTCAGCACAGGGATCCCCGGTCCAAGAGATGCACTCCACTCCTAGCTCTTTTTTCTTGGTGGTAGTGAGGTCCCCCCCTTTCCTCCTCTAGGATGGCTCATTTTAAGCCTAGTGGGATGGCAAAACTGACCAATCCCCTCACTAGGGTTCCATATACCTTAATTGCCTAGTCCCACCCCCACAAGGGTACCATGCACCTTTTTGCATTATTGGCAAGTTGTCCAATCTCTTTGGTGGGCCACAAGCACCTTATTTGTATAGTCCCACCCCATCACTAGGGTGGGAGTTACAAGAACATGGCAAGAAAGGCTACACAAAAGTGATCCATGGCACCACAGTCCACCCCCTAGCTTTTCTAGCCATGGTTCTTTCATACTTGGAGGATAACTTCCCCCTCCCAATCATTCCACCAGTCCAAAACAGTCATTAACAATTAGTCCTTCAGTAGGGCAGAGTCCTCAGGGTGAGGTGACTCAGGGACCAGCCATTCAGGTCTGCTGCAGATGGCCATCTGATCTGGTCAGGTTCTCCAAGTCAGCTCGGCTTCACCCTTTCTGGCCTCTGATAAAATTTAACTGAGAGATTATTCCCTTGCTCTAAACCTCTCTCGAGGTATCAGCAGAGCAAAACCTTTAAGGGACTTGAGGTTTGGCCACTGTGCTCCAGTCCAGCAGTGCCTCCCCCAGTACACTATTTCACACTTAACAGCTTTTACAATCACAGTTTTTACAATCCCAGTTAACCCTGTTAATAGTCAGTACTCACAACTGAATCATATAGCCCTATCAGCATTTCCCCACTCTGTCTTCCCCAGACCCATCAGGAAAAGAGGAAACTATTCAGTCGGGATCCTCCCTTGTCCCCCTCATTTTGAGTGTAAGCACACCCATGAAAGTGTGTAAGTCAGCCACTTCATGCCTTTATCTCCCCTCGTTTTAGATTGCCAATGTTTAAATTGCCTGTCCCTATATCAAACCAGTATTCTGAGGAGACAGCATGTTCCTTGGTCTTGAAGAATCTTCTGTTCCAGTGGGAACTTTGAGCATCTGCATCCATAAGCAAAGTCCAGTCCAGTGCCAGCCATCAAATTGCAGCAGTTTATACCAGCTCACAGTGTCAAACATCTCTTTCTCTCTTTCTTCATTTGGTTGAGTTCTGGTCAGCTAATCCCTAGCCCCCATGGGCTAGGCAGTGGGTGCCAGTCATAGGCTCAGGAGTCCACACACCTCCCTGCACTTCAGACCAGCCAGCCCCTTCTCTTTCTCTCATCCCTAGCCCCTGTGGGCTAGGTCAGTGGGTGCCAATGGAACATGTCCAAACTCAGCCCATCTCTTCATTGCTGCATCTCCCATACTTCCACTCAAGTGGACCCAGGTGGTCCCCACAAGCTAGCATACCAGGCTGTTGAATCACTGGCTCCCTTTAACCTCCAGTCCTAGAAGGGGGTTCTTCTGATGGGCACTGACTTTTCCTGCCTTGATGCATCCAATGGCAAACCGCTGGAAATTCAAAAAGCAAAACAGTCATTTTTTTTTTTTCTGCAGGTTCTTCCTTCAAATACCAATTACCTGCTCTCCCAGCAGTTCTGAGTGGGTCTGCATGTCTTTTCAAATGCAAATTTCCTGACTCTGAAGGTTCTGGGTGTGGCTCAATTTTCCGACCTAAGCCCCCAATACTCTACACACAGGGTTACTCCATTTTAATGAACAGCCTGTGTTTCTTTCTGGCAAATCCTAGCTCCCCTTTTAGCATATCCAATCAAGTATTGACTGAAGGCAGAGTTACATGTTCTCCGTCACCTATAATACCCAGTATTCATTTCCATCATAGGTTTAGGTCTGTTTTACAATAGTAGGCAGGAGAAACATTCAATATCCATAATACATCAAGATAAACATATAACTCTCTTTAAAACATTCCAGTTTCATCTTATTTTCTCCACACCTTGACTGTCGTCCCATTCACATGCATATGGCTTTGAGCCTCTGGCTGCGTGAAACCAGAAGACCCTGGCCCCCTAGGAATCATCTTGTTTAACTGGCCCAGTTTTTGCCCTAAGCCACTCCAGATGCAGCTTTTCTCCCCTCAGCTGCAGCAGAACATCTCCTACTTTCCAGCCGTTACAGGTAACAACCACCAAAGTAACGATCTCGGAATCAAGTTTCACTTCCCACGCCCCTTCATTCGTTCTCTTACAAAGTCCCATACTACCATGAGTCTAGAGACATTGCAACGAATCCCACTTGTGACACGAGCTGTAAAAATGGCGTAGCAGAGGCATCTGACCTTCTCATCTAACTCTACACGGGGAAGGAGAGAGAATCATTCAGCATCAACAGCCCCAGACGTGTAACACTCTATTAACATACACTCGTGCTGTTTTCCCAAAAAATGTGCTAACAAACATCCACATCTAAAACTCTGCCCACCTCTCTCCAGTTACCTTCTTAGGATAACTCCCAGTAGTGGAATAAATATGGCCAAGTTCCTTTCTAGAAATTGCTGCTTCACTCTCCCATCGGGATATGCGGAGAACGTCTATTTTATTCCAAGGCTGTAAGAACTAAACCATATAGAACCAACTTTTTTCCCTAAATAGCATTTCAAGAAGTTAACCTTCTTTTCCCCCTGCCCCATCCTACAGGGAGGTGATTTAGGAACAAATGGTCTAGAAAGTCACTGAGAAGGGACTGATCTTTTTTTTTCCAGGTTTGAAACCCTCTTTGCCAAACTGGAGAAGAAGCAGAAAGAGCTGGGCATTGCGAGCTTCGGGGCCTCCGTCACCACCATGGAGGAGGTCTTCCTGCGGTCAGTCTAAGGCTCAGGGATGTGGACAGTCTCTCTAAAGTGAAGTGATAAAGCAGTCACTGCCATCATGGGCTCAGACACCCACAGATGATAGGTAGATGATGACTGATAGGTTGACTGATTGATTGATTGATGTTGGGTTAGCAATTGTGAATAGTGCTGTTATGAACATTTACATCCACGTTTCTGTGTGGACGTCTGTGTTCATTTCTCTTGGGTAGATTCCTTGGAGTGGAAAAGCTGGGTCATGCTGTAACTAGGTTTCACCTGTCTCTCCATGCTTGGGGAGGGTGCATTCCTACTTCTCCTTTAGGCTCCAGGGTTCCTCTGGGCCCAGCCTCTGCTCCTACTGGCCCGTGTTCACTGAACAAGCGAACAAGTGAATGCACGAGCTAAGGAGCCAATGGCATCCTTCACACTCACCCTCTTCCTGGCTGAATGGTAGCTGCACCCCCACCCCTAGTGAGCCATCTCTAACCAGTGCCCATGTCTCGGTGCAGGGTCGGCAAGCTGGTGGACACAAGCATGGACATCCAGGCCATCCAGCTCCCAGCCCTGCAATACCAGCATGAGCGGCGGGCCAGTGACTGGGCGGTGGACAGCCACCTCTGCGGTGTGATGGACCCCAGCGATGGCGTTGGCACCCTCATCGAGGAGGACTGCAGCGCCATCCAGCTCAACACGGGGGTGAGCACCAGTAGGGACCGGCAGGGGCAGGAGGGCAGGCAGCCCCTGAGCCCGCTGAGCCCAGCAAGGCACAGCCCATGACGACCAGGCAGAACCCAAGTGGGCCGTTCAGCCTCTAGGAGGGCTAGCAGCTGGGGTGCGGGCAGGTGCAGAGATGAGGAACTGGGAACATTCTACTCCAGCAGTTGCCACTTAATGTTCTGCATGAAAAGGGGCTGATGCTTGGCCACTCGTGAGCCGGAAAGAAGGTTTGCTTGCAACACCACAGTGCAGCGTCTACCAAGGCGTGCCACGCTGTGCTCACAGGCCACATAGTGATGCGGCCAGGGTAGAGGGCTGTCCGGCTCCATAGCAGTCAGGAAACCGTGGCTGGATGGCCAGCAGCACAGAGCTGGGCTCAGTCCCTGCCCTTGGAGGACAGTGATGGGGGAGGCACTGGGGAATATGGGAAAGCGGTTGGGAAGTTTGTACGTCTGCTTCCATGGAAGCAGGGCGGGGTCCCCCATCGGGTGCTGCCTCCAGCATGGAGCAGTGGCGAGGGTGAGGGCAGAGGGGCATCAGGCCACACGATTGTGGCTAGTCCCCTAACATCCCACATGGACGAAATGGTGTCTGCCTGCCTCCCATGCTGCTGTCAGCCCTGAGGTCCCGTGCGAGGTCCATGGTGGGACCGGTAGGGTGTGTGCAAGCGTGGCTCCTACAGAAAGCCCCAGCTGCTCTCGTCTGGCCGCACCTACAATCGTGGCCACTCTCCCAGGCTCAAGCACGTGGGGCTGCTGCAGCAGGGCAGGTGGGGGCAGACCCCAGCCCGTGTAGCACCCCCATGACCGAGGGACCCCGCGCCTCCCTGTCCACAGCTCACCCTGCACTGCCAGCAGTTCTGGGCCATGTTTGTGAAGAAGGCTGTGTACAGCTGGCGGGAGTGGAAGGTAGTGGCGGCACAGGTCCTGGTCCCTCTGATGTGTCTCACCTTCGCCCTCCTGGCCATCAACTACTCGTCAGAGATCCTGGATGACCCCAGCCTGAAGCTGACCCTGGGAGAATACGGCACAACCGTTGTGCCCTTCTCAGCTCCGGGGACGTCGCAGCTGGACCAGCAGCTGTCGGAACATCTGAGAGACATGCTGCAGGCTGAGGGCCAGGAGCCCCGCGAGGTGCTGGGTAAGGGCTGCCCTGAGGCTGGGGCCAGGTGTGCCGTGTGGGCCAGGTCAGGTGGGCATTTGGGCCAGGTGGGCAGTGAGGCCAGATGGACAGTTGGGTCAGGTGTGCCGTGTGGGCCAGGTGGGCAGTTGGGGCAGGGCTTCCCAGCAGCAGACTCTTGACACTTGGGGCTGGATCCTTCTTTGCCGTCCCAGGACTGCAGGATGTCGAGCAGCATCCCTGGCATGGTCCCCCCAGTCCAGCAACCGGGTCCTGAGTAGCCCCGCTGAGACACCTGCCCTTGTTTGTCATTTTGATGGCTGTGAGCCTGCCTGGACTGTAAGGATTCCAGGGCTGTCCGTACATGGTGGCTCCAAGGGCCGGGAGTGGATTCTGGGAGCTGCCGCAGCCTTCCCTGGCCCAAGCCCGTCTGGCTGCCTAGCTTGCCTGGCTCCCATGCTGAGTGTGGAACTTCACATTCTAACCGCCTCACCATAGGGTTTTATGAGCTTCCACTTAAGATCCAGAGCCCTGGTACAGTGTTTAAGAGTTCAGCTGCTCACCAAAAGGTCGACAGTCTGAATCTACCAGTTACTCCTTGGAAACTCTATGGAACAGTTTTACTCTGTCCTATAAAGTCGCTATGAGTTGGAATCGACTCGACAGCAATGACAACTTAAAGATCCAGTCTTTTCCCTTGTGTAGAGCAGCCGAGGGCAGGCACGGTGGCTCTGTGGTGCGCCCTGTCCGTCAGTGTTCACGCGCAGAGCAGCCGAGGGCAGGCACGGTGGCTCTGTGGTGCGCCGTGTCCGTCAG